GAGAGAGAGAGAGAGAGAGAGAGAGTTCTTATTTTTAATTGTAATTTTTTTGATTGAGAGAATGAAATATAATAAATATAACGAAAATCTCGAGTCTCGAGGATATTATTGCGTACGAGTTTGTGTCATCGAATTGGAGAATTAAAAAGACATTGTAAAATAAGATGGTAATGGATTATTTATTATATATATGGAATGATTATTTTTTATGAGAATATCGTTTCAGTTATCATTTTCGTGTTTGGAAATATATGTACTTTATAAAAATTATCAATGATAGCCTGAGTCGACGAACGATGTAGCTTTAGAGTGATGAAAATCAAAAGATAAATTTCGTTGAGAGGAGAAGCAAGGAATTTAGAAAAATGTAGAAAATTCGTTTCAATTTACAATTTCCAGCCCGTTCGATATCCGGCTTATAGTTTTTTCAAATTGTTTTCGATACCGATTTTCGATAACGATATAGAAGGTGATGGTGAAATATGGTGGGTGGAGAATATTGGGTGGTTTCGAATTGTTTCCGTAACGAGCACTTGTTCCACGTTTCTGGAATTCGAGCGATCGAATGCACGCGCCGGTAAACCTGACGATAACCTTCCACGAAACACGTATACGACGCCTTGATTTAGTAATGATCTAGTGTTTCTAGGGGTTACACGAGTCGCAATTTGTACAAATGACGATGTAAAAAAAAAACGTGCATTGCTTGGTGAAACGTTTCATTCTAATTTCATCCGGCGAACTAATTTTCTCGCCGCGATGACAAAACACGATCCAAACACGATCCATTCCTATTTCCATTTAATTATTAATCTGTTTCGATGTGTCGATCCTCTTCTGTTAAGAAGAAGCTAAGTTAAGTTTGGGCGAGTTTACCGATCGTTTAAACTTTCTTTCGAAGATAATTATTTTTTGATCAGTTAATTAGTTTCAGCGCATTTCGTTAAAGCGAAAAGGGTTCCACTCGAGATTCCACATTCGAAGCACACTTTGCACGCGAAAAGGGTGCTTGTGCTTCTGCTTCAACGCTCGAACACCGCCAAAAAATCAAGCGAAGAAAGCGAAGAGGCGTATAAAAAGTTTTTCATAATTCAACCATCGGCTTCCATTCAAAAAGATTCGAGGATCGGTATATTTCGATCATCTAAATTAGATGATGTTTCACTTGAACGGGTTACAAATCTCCCGATGGATCGTTTTCAAATCTTCAAGATTAATTAAACTCACTCTTGCTTGTCATCCGGAAATTCGAATCGTAGACGATCCTGTAGGACGGTTTTAAGCTGTTCGAGGTCTTAAAATCACGTTTAATCTCGAAACTGAACGAAGAACAATTAATCCCCCTAAGAATATCCCGAGGTTAATTTTAAGATTAATTCTCGAGGCAAATTCTCGATCTAAAATCGATTGCTCCGTCAAGATTCTAAGATTAATCCCGATCGTCACCATGATTCGTGCATTCCGATAAAAAGTATATATTTCAATTATCCTCGTCGATTCTTCGCTCAACGAGGTTTTCAATCGAACCGAATTAATTAATCTCTCTCTAATTCGTATCAAGTAGCGAAACATCGTCGAATCTCATTAGACTGGAAAAGAATGCATTCTTGCCGGGCAATAAAGCTGCTCGGTGGTAATTTTTACAAGCACTTTTCGTCAGTCTGTGGCAAGAAAGGTCGCTCCCAAGTACGCGCCCCTACAGACACACCCAAACTTAACACTTGACTACGTGACCTAGTGTCCTCGACGTGTCGCACAAGCGCAAGAAGAGAGAAAAAAAAAGAGAGAGAGAGAAGAAAAAAAGAAGAAGGGAGAAATATCCGCTGGATTAAATAGGACAAACGGAAACACGAGTGAGACATTTTTACCGGAATCGAAAGTACTTTCATCTCTTCAAACGCGTCAACATATTCTTAAGGGGATTAAAAAAAAAAAAAAAAAGAAAAGAAAAACGAGCGCACGAATTAAATAACGTTGATAAAGGGTCGACCCGGGCATTAATTCGCAAAACCGTTTCGTAATAAACGGGGAGGGGAAATGTAGAGCCGAGCGCAGCACAACAACGCGAAATGCAAATTGGACGTGAAATTTGCAAGAGTGAGATTCTCTGGCAGGGGAGATGAATCAAAGTGGAAAATGAGAAACATGGATCTCTGGATGAAATGAAGAGAGAGAGAGAGAGAAGAAGAAAAAAGAGAGAGATTGGAACTTACAGCGTGTGACGAGCCTGTTGTTGGTCTGGCTTGGGGGCGGAATCGCAGGCTGCGGGGATGGCTGCGAGCTCAAATCCTCGAAATTTATGATTTGCAAGCAGATCTCGTCCACCTCGCTCCTTATTAGCGCTATCACCTCGCTGCACAGAAACTTGGTGCCTGTGACAGAAAAAAATATCCATCATCCGATTATTAACGGACGCGAAAACGCTACACTTTCTTCTTAATGAAACGAATATACACGAATATTTCGACGCAACGCAATGGCATATGCAACGCGTATACGCTTCGGACCATTCAAAACTCGGTGGAACGACGAATATCGATTTTTCCACCCATTAAACCGAAGAAATTATATTAGGATGCGTAAAGAAATATCTTCTTTATCGGCCGCGGTAAACGCGACCACCGAACAGAGCAAGCACGGGCGTCTGGCGCGATAAATATCCACGTTCGACGTTTAGGGAACGTCTATTAGACGAGGTGGTCCGTAAAACGTCTCGCGTCTTGTTTGATGTTAGCCAAGGATCGAACGTGGCAATAAAGCCTTTGCTAACTTCCTATAAATCGCATCTGGATTCGATCCAAACCGGTTTCTCTTCACCACCGCGTTAACCCTTAACGCGGTAGTAGCGATAAAAGAATTTTCCCGGGGAAAACATTATTTTTAACGCGGGCAAACATACAGTTTTCGATGTATTTAAGTGGAATAGTTCTCGAATTTTTTATTCGCGATACGCGTTCGAGGAATTAAACGATGGCGTCAATTTTAAACAGACTTTCGAGCAGCGCTCTCAATTTCGTTGCTCTGTTTTCTTTCGGGGATTCGAAAAGGGGAGTGGAAGGGGAAGGCTGTTACGAGTCGTGACGATAATTCGAAACGATCGAATTGGAAACGGTTCGAGCCAGAGAGATGCAACGCCGGTGACACTGCGCCTTTCCACCAACACGCGTCACCGGCTACTCGTTCAACATCCCTCGAAACACGGGAGATTTCCTTTCGAATTTTAAAAAAGAAATTCGATAGAAACGATCCGCTCGTGAAAAATGCGGATGGAATCTACGTGCATTTGCAAGCGTGGAACGCTATCCAAAAAAGGATACACGCGAAATATCTTTGCTCTCTACTTTTTAATAAAAATTCACGTTCCAAGATATATATTCATAATGAAAAAACAACGCATCTTTACACATCTTTTTATCGATACGATTCGTGCAAAGAGACTCGACGAACTCGACTGCTATATCGATCGATATCAAAAAAAAAAAAAAAGAAAAACACAATTTCCAAGCAATTTCCTCCCATAATCGATCCGGGAAAACTTTTTTCAATCGCGAGAACGAGAATGTCGCACGTGGTAGCGAAAAAGCCTCTTGCGCTTTTGCGGGATTTGTGGGCAGCGCGAAGGTCACCGCGGAAGCCCGTAACCGCGGGAACACGATTAAATACGACGTCGGCCGTCGGCTGGACGCAGCTAATTAACCGGCGTGTGTCGAGTCAAGGTGGATTGGACGGGATCCAAAAAGGGCCCGAGAAAAAGGAAAGCGGCGCGGCCAGACTCGGGGGATTCCCGATTCGGACAGGGCTGGTTGCGCAATCGGGACGATGCAATGCACGCATAGGCGGCTGCGTAATCGTTTATACGGGGCGGGCGTGCCAAGAGTCGTGGCCACCTGGATCTTCCTTCGTCGTCGTCGTTCGACGACGACGTCATCCGCGTGGAACGTCAGCGATGATCGGCCTCGCTTGCACGCGCCTCTACGAACACGATAGGAGAGAAGTATGAATTATAGCAATAGCCTCGACTTGTTTGATTCTCTCCTCGACCACCACTATCTTTCTTTCGAAGATAGAATAAACGTGGAAGAATCGATTAGTCAAGTTTTCCCTTCTCTTTCTTTCTTTCTTCTCTTTTTTAAACGAGTATAGAGGAATGGTGCGCAGTAAACGAGCAGGAGGCCGTTATATAATCCCCCCTCCCAGTTGTGAACCGAACCAGCGAGCTGAAACCTCGATAACCGTTGGAACAAGTGTCGGTGCGATTGCTCGATCCCGTTCGAATCGTTGATAGCGAAGGTGGAACGATCGTGGAAAATGTTATTCGACTCTTGTTTCCTGCTCAAGACGTATACCTCGAACCTGGTTGGTATACGATGATAAAGTTGGAAGGGCAGTTTGGAAATCTGAATCGATTCAACTTGAGATCATAGGAGCGTGATAAAAATTGAAACGATCAATTACAAGGGAGGGGGGCGGGGAGTGGCCGCTCCTCGTGTCTGGATAGCGGTTAATACGTGAAATACGTGTGGTTTCTTCGGCAACGTCACAGCAAGCTGTCCCTATCGATCCGTTCCCCGCCTTTCTTTCTCGGTTGCTCTTTTTCTCCTCTCGCTTCCTCTTTGTCCCGGCGGAATTACGCACGCAGACGGGTCACGCATAGCCGGCTTGTCAGGTCTGGGCTGAAATGCGAGCATGCGAGGAAGGAGTGGAGCGGCCCTCGCGGGCCATCGTTGCGCTTTCCACGTTTTCTCGCTCCACATTTTTCATGCGGCCTCCGTTCAACTTGCCCAGCCTGAGGACGCCTCCTCCTCTCGCCTCCAACAGAGAGAACCTCTCCACACCCTGTCCTTTTCTCGGCTTAATTATGTTTCACGCGTGGAGGCCACGCCGTGAAAATCGGACTCGATTATTGTAATTCGTATTCTCTTTGAAAGTTAAATAAGAAAAAGGAAAAAAAAAAAGAACGTGATGGAATCTTTAACTGGATTCGAAACTGATTCGAGTTTTCCCTTTTCGAAGAAGGAAAATATGGAATTTCTTCGACGAGGATTATCGATCGGAATTGTAATAATCTACGATGATGCCGATTCGAGTCGAAGACAAACGATAGGAAATTTTATTAAACGTTCGATTGGTCGTTGATTCTGACGCGGTGGAAATTTTATTTTAACGGCATCATTTCCAGCAATGATGCGTCGGATATTAAGCAGCAGGTACAACTTGTTAATGCATAAAGAAGAGGCGGTACACTTCTTTAACGTCGACTTTAATTATAGCGAATAAAGTAAGTGCATAAAGACGACGAGGACGCTCTCTTCCGTTCCGTTCTTCATTACTTTTTGCTCGCTCGAGTTGCGGCTCGTTTCAAAGCGCGGAAGAAGAAAAAAGAAGAGAGAGAGAGAGAGAGAGAAAAGAACAAGCTGCTGAAATTTGAGCATATTGTACTTCTTTCCACGTCCAATTTTGAATCGTCGTTCAGAGAAATTTCTACAAAGGGGGAAAGAAAGAAAGAAAAGAAGGGAGGGCAGGAAAAAAGAAAGAAAGAAAGAAAAAATAGCGAAGCTTCGCCCTGAAAGTAGTCTGGTTTTTTTCAGCTTCTTGATTCCAGAAATTGAACCTGAAAAGAAGTCCAAAGAAAACAAGTAACCGGTGAAAATTTCAGTGGTACTCCGACTTAATTGAAACGTCAGCCTTGGTAAACAAGAGAGAGAGAGGAAAAGAGTTCGTTCGACGGCGTGAAACGTTCCAAGCAAGAGAAAGATCGTAAATGGCGCCAATCTGCAGTATTTCCTCGATGAAAATTCAAGATTCTCCGCCCCCTTTAAAGAATCACGGTGCCGTTAGATACGACCACCGATGCTGAGAACACTTGCTTTGTTTCGGTCGAGTAGTCCGAGTCCTCGTTACGTCCTCGTGGTTTCGCGGCTTTTAAACCAACAACGAGAAAGGGTAGAACCGTGGACAGAAAAGACTTTTCTCGCTCGCAAGAGAAGAGAAGGGAAGAAGAGGAAACAGTAGAAAGATGCGAGGAAGGTGAACGCACCCTGCATCCATTCGGCGCAACGTCCTTGTCGAGAGGGAGTGGGAAAAGTGGGGAAAAGCGGGTTTCAGCGGGCCGCCGCCTTCGTCTTCCCTTGGAAAAAATAAAAAAAGAAAAAAGAAAAAAAGGAACCGATAATCCCTCCCGTGTTGAATAAAACGCCGGCCGATCGATTTTTCTAAAAGCCTTCTGGCTTTCGCGGTTTTTAGAGAAATGCTTCTTTCCTTTCTTTCTTTGTTTTTTCCTCCCCTACGGGGTAAAAGGAGCTTTCAAACCGTTTCTTCCCCTCCCTCTTCCGTCTTGGAAGGGGTTGGAGGAAAATATTAATCGGATGAATTAATTCGGTTCTCGTTAAACCGCTTCGTTAAATTAACGAAGGAAGGGATTATCGGATGGGAAGGAACGATCGATCGAGGTGGAATCTTTCCTTGTGGGAGAAGAACATTTAAAGGATGTGTTTTTCGGTTTTCACTTGATTTGTATGCGTGATCGCGTTTCGAGAGAGCCTCGATGGAAAATCATCCACGAGGTGGATGATAAGTTTGTAGGATACGTCGAGGAGGTTTATGACAAGCGTGACACTTGCCGAGCGTGTAACAGTTTTGCGATGACTATGTCCCTCTCTCCTCTTCCCTTCCTCCCTCCCCAAGAGAGAGAGTCCAATAGTCTGTATCATCTATTTCGAGACGTCTCCTCGCAGACGGTAATAAACTCGTGTTGATACTTCCACCGTTCTCGCGATCCAACACGCTACGTGTGGAATACCGCTACCGGTGGAATTTCGCAACGAGGCAACCGGCTAGAAAAATAAAATTCCTTCGTGGAAGGATCGTGCGAAACCTTCTTTCGAAACAATGGAAACCATGCTTCGAGATTATACGTGAACCGGATTGTTGTTAAACAATCCGCGGGAGGAAAAGAAAGGAGACGAGATATTAATTTATCTTATCTAAAAGTTTTGGAACAAAAGTTAAGCCTGTGTCGACGGATCTTCTTTCGCGATTTTGAAAAGAAAAAATTTACCTCGTAAATTTTTTGGAACGAAAATTAGTCGAACGCTTCGAATCGTGAAGATTTGTTGATGGCAAACAATCCTCGATGAGATCTCGAGGATCTTTCGAGCTTTGTTTAATTATTTTTAGATAGTAGGCAGAGTCCTACTACCGTTTTCTCGAAGAAAAAAAAAAAAAAATCCCTGTGAATCTCCCGGCTCTCGTAACAATAATCCCAGTGACCGGAGAGAGAATCGAAATTGGAACGATCGTATCGTAACGCGCAACGTGTAATAAATACGACACGATGGAACTGAAATCGTGGCCGTGGAAAAAAAGGCAAAAC